TAACGTCGCGTTAGCAATTAAAACGTTAAAATTAAACGTGATCAAATCTGTAAAATTTGTTTTACATACCTGGTACAGCCGCGCTGCAGCTATATTATGTAAAGTAAAAGTAAAGTTACAGCCTATATACGTCCCACTGCTGGGCACAGGCCTCCTCTCATTTCTGAGAGGGTTTTAGGGCAAGGAATAGTCCGCCGCGCTGCCCCAATGCGTGTTGGCGGACTTCACATGTCTTCGAAATCATTTTTTTTCTTATTTCTCAGACATGCAGCTTTCCTCACGATGTTTCCCTTCACCGACGAGCACGTGGTAAATCAGCACTTAAAATTGCAATTAATAATTTCATTGGTGCCGGCGGGGATCGAACCCGGTTTGCTCGCGTATTGTGAAATTTACCGTAGGTACGGCTAATATATTATGGTTGCAGCATAAATAGGTCGGCTCGACCGGGGAAGGACCACGCTCTTACAGATTACCAGCGTAAAATAGCCGTAACCGTAGAACTTTTTTACTGGAAACGAGTCATCCCTTCTTAGCCCTCAGGGGTAAAAACGCATCTGCATTTTGGTTCTTAATCGATGATATGTAGATGTCTATAGGGCGCAGTATCCACTTACCATCAGGGTTGTGAGATGCTGTGTGCTCGTTTGCCACCCTTATTATATAAAATAAATTAAAAAAATACCATTTGTTTTATTTCTTTTTATTTTCTAAAAATCAAAACAAACTCAGTTTTATTATGTTTTTGTTATGTTATATATTCTAATGTTCCGTTGCTTCTGTTTAGCTTGACACAGATAACAGAGAGGTTATCGTAGACTGTCGAAATTGTTACAAAGTTATCTAGTTGTCAGAGAGGCCCATATTTTTGCTTTATGTCTATTATTGTATTTTAGAAATACAACAATAGAAATTATTATAAGTAATATTTGTATAAATATAATAAATGCGTAAACATTTATTCCAGATAAATATTTTTTATTTTCCCTCCAAGGGGAAGTCTAAGGTTTTCCCATAAATTATTTTTAATTCTGTTTGTGTGTGTATGTGTATTCATTAATAAAAAAATAAAGATACGAGACGATACAGCGATCGCTAATTTGCTTGACAAACGTGGCGATTGTTGCAAATCCTTCTTACAACGGAAATTGCCCTAAATGGTTCCTCTGTGGGCTATTCAAAAAGTTTTTTATGAATTATTTTCTGTGGAATTAGTTTTAAGTGTCTATTGTCGGTACTGTATATTGACAATATCTAAAATATGAACTTTTCAAGGAAAGGAAACTTGGCATTCGACGACTTTCAATTCCCAGTACGATTCTATATTCACTGAAATGTCAGAGCAACCTTATTTTAACTGTGATACGTTTGTAAGCTCTACTTCATTATGACCTATTTGTATATATGTTAACCTCCGAAGCGCTTGTGGTTCAACAAAGCGTCGTGAATTTTTCCACTTGCATAGTTCATTTAACTCATTAAGTGTTACGTTAAGTTTTGAACGTTAAAATAATTTTCGGCTACCTAAAGCACTAAATCAACGTAAGTAATTTGTTTTCGAAATCCAGAGTAACTATAGTATTGAAATTTTATAGAATCGTAAGAGATGATCTGCACAGCAGAACTCTACCTTGTGCATATCCCAACACGCACTTTACCAAACGTTTAATTGTGATAAAATAAAATTTATTTGCGTAAGGTGTTAAGGTTTGTCTTCGTTAACATTTAACTTATAAGTGTTGACTGTTCAACCAAGACGAAAAACTATTTTAGGAGAAAGATATTAAAGATATTGAAAAAAGATTTTTGTACGATATAAATGAAAAGTTCACAAGGGTAACCTTAACTTTGCATAATAATGTAACGAATTTGTAGATACAAAGAGGGTAAGCCACTGGTGGGTGGTTGAAAATGGGTGATGTTAATAAGACTCTTTTTCAAGACAAAGTAAAAAGCACCATTAGTAATATTTAGTTATTGCAATAACATTAAATACCCGTCCCGTACGGTTATTTTTTCGGGGGCACAACGCAAACGGTGGAATCGCGAATGTGTTATCAGCAGCGGATGCGGAGAACGGAAGAACGACGGTCGCCGCGCCGGGTATCGCGAGCCGACCGTCACGTGACCCTTTACATTTCCACATATATTCTATGCTTAAAAAATATACGACTCTACATTAAAGAAAAATATAGTGTACCTAGCATCTCTCATTAAGTTGCAAACAATGCTTTATTATCAACGTAACTTGTAAAATTGATATTGAAGTTTTCAAAACATTGCATATCCTCAGATCGATTTATTGGAAACGAGGCATTTCATCTGTTCTCAGGGTGACGACGAATCTGCATTTTGATTCTTTTTTGTCTTGGTTATAATTTGGTGGACTGTGCTCGTAGATCACCTTTATTCTATATAAAAAAAAAAAATTTGATGTCTGCTAGTTAGATGAGTGTCGAGTATGAGTATGACAAGAATAGTTCGACTAAATTACCAATGACATCATTACAGGCGTACAGTCAATCACAAGACCACAGTTGTACGTATGGGACTCCGTCAAGGTATCTCTTCCCAGGTCTTCACTACCATCTGGTGTTCGACTACATAAGAGACCTTATTTTTTTTTTCTTTTTAACTTCAATGATTAATGACTTATAAAATATCACTCGTAGTTTGATTATAATAAATTAGTACGGTTCGGTAAGTAGGAGAAGCATGCTGCGATGGCATAATGACCATAACAAAAAAGCGCATCCCGAAACGGGTCGTTATTTTTGTTGCTTAGTGCTTGTTTCGGAGAATAGGCACGAGCGGCGAGCGGGCGGGAGCGGTCGTCGGCTCGCACAGTGCCGTACTCGGGTAACGAGTTTAATGTTCTCATAATAATGTTTACTCTTCATTAAAATAATAATTGAAATCCGAACGAATTAGTGGCACAGGTGCTCAAAACAAAAATATACCTTAGCATTATCTTTTTATGTGACAGTATTCTTGAATAGGTATCAAAATTATATAGAAAATTTTTAAATCCACAAAAGTAACAATATTACGGTACATTATTATTATCAAGGGCTGCCCCACATGTTGCTATGGTATTTATTAATATGTAAACACATGTTGCCCTATAATATAACGAGGTACCTCACATGGTAAAGATACGAATATAATAAATAAAAACACCTTTTAGCATTTCAAAAATCATGATTTCACGTGTAGTGGCAGGTTATTTCATAAGTACCATTTAACAAATATATATGGATAATTAATGTTTATGTAGTACAATGTAAAATGTTATATATTTTTATGTGAGAGTGTGTATATGCACGTGTATGTATATGTATTTTTAAAAATGGAAAGTTAGCACCGATAATGACGCGGGCGCAATATCGAATTAATACTGCTGCACACACATCACTCACTCTTGCCGAGACTTATTTTTAATTATGTTTACCATCTTGTACCTTGTGTGTTTTAAAGCTCGTATTTACTTTTAAATTTATATTTTGTGAGTACAAATAAAACCTATGTCGATGTCTATGTCTATGTCTAATATATATTATTGTCTTCATAGCACCGATGGTCGTCCTGGCAAGTGCACATTTTTTACGCACATTTACTATAAAAGATATTCCGAGATCTTAATACTGTGACATCGATTCATCGAGCATATTTATTTGTATCGGATTTAATTGAAGATTGTACAGAGGACGATTTCGACGCTGAACTTAATATGCATGTTGTCAAGAATAAAAAAAAGGACTAAATAGTTCTAGATAGAATTTAATTTATATTATGATCCATCTAGAAAAACAATCGCCCAGTATTTTAGAAATTCGTGGTTGGTATTTATGGCGCTTTATTAATTAATCAGTGACGATATAATAAAATATTAAAAATATCAGTATTTAAAAAATAAATGGAATACTCTGTATCACAATAGTAATATGTCTAAAGATATCATAATATAGCTTATTATTTATTTCCCATATTTCAATATAGGTTAATATCAGAATATGCTTAAAATCTTAAATAATTATATTGATTAAAGTGTCTTAGTATTAATTTGCGGCTTAATTTAAACAACTTTTACATTCCTGCTTCTAAGACTGACTATGCAAGTAATCGATTTTTTTTAAGATTATAACTTCTAAAATCAACGTTATAATATTTTCAATATATTTAATTTGAAAATTTTTAAGTTTATATTTGCCATCAAGCAACTTCATGGTCGCTAGTTTTAATCATTATCCTTCATTGTCGGACTGTTTTAACAGTACCTTTAAAATATGACACAATATATATATATATATATATATATATATATATATATATATATATATATATATATATATATAGATATAGATATATATATATATTATCAGTATTTTTGCCCAGTGATCACATATTATGTTATCATTAATTGGTGAAAAACTGACTGACTTTTGCAACAAATTAAACAATAATTATGTCGTTAAAACTTTAACTTTAACTGCCTAATGATCAAGTATGTTATCATTAATTACGCACTTTTGTAAAAACTTAAACATTAATTATGTGTTACTATAGTTGTATTCCTTAAATAAATAAATAAATAATGTGAAATATTTTATATTATTTTTATAGCTGTTATTAGCTATATTACAGCTGCGTGTGAGGTCATTCAAAGATTATTATTAAAAACGTATTGTGTCTTGCTATAACTTATATCAATATAATATATTATAGCTAAGTGTGTGACGACCATTAATAAAATCTAGAATTGTATGTAAATTATTAAGGTATTTAGGTAAATTTTGTTATTGTGTTTCAAAGCTTTTTATGGTCTTTTTATTATTTTGTTGAAAATTGTCTCTTAGTTAACGTTAATATCTCAGTATAATAAAAATAACCATTAAAATGCCCCATTATTTATATCGTCATATATGTATATATTTCGTGTCTACTTTACTCAGACAAGCAGACGTAATATCATATTGGTGAAGATTTGTAGAGCTTTGAAGCGCTAATGCGGCCCTGTTTCGGTGGGTCGGAGACGGAGAGCGGGCCAAGGGAGGCGAAGCGGCGCGAGAGTGCGGTTCGAGGCGGCCCCATACTCAGTGCAGTGAGCGGCGCGTGGAGAACCAACATCGCGCTATGGCTCTACGCGTTTTATTCGTGGCCGCCGCGCTCGTCGCCGGCGCCGACGCTGTATACAGTCGCGAACGAGATCGACTACGTGCTGACCCCCGTTTACTTGACCGTGCTTGTGAATTAAGTTCCTGCTACCCAGCTACCGGTAACCTCCTTATCGGACGCGAATCTCGACTCTCTGCAACATCCACATGTGGTTTACATGGACGCGAACGATACTGCATTGTGTCGTATCTCGACGACAGACTCAGAAAAGAAAGGGAAACATGCTTCACTTGCGACTCAACGAACAAAACCGTGCACAAACCCGATGAAAATCATCGAATACAGAACATTATTTATAAATTTTATCCTGGCACAAGATACAGATCATGGTGGCAATCCGAAAATGGAAAGGAAAATGTTTCAATTAGACTAGATATGGAAGCGGAATTTCACCTTACGCATTTAATAATTCAATTTAAAACTTTTCGTCCCGCTGCAATGTTGGTGGAGCGGTCTTTCGACTTTGGTAAGACATGGCGTGTTTATAGATATTTCGCACACAACTGCGCCGAGTCCTTCCCGTTAATTCCTAGACATTCACAGCGAAGCTTAACAGAAGTCGTATGTGATTCCCGTTATTCAGGTGTCTCTCCTTCTACTGAGGGAGAAGTGATATTTAGAGTGTTACCGTCGAATATAAATGTGACAAATCCATATTCGGAAGAAGTGCAAAGTTTATTGCGAATGACCAATCTTAGAATTAACTTTACAAAATTGCATACACTAGGTGATGATCACCTCGATAACAGAGCGGAAATAAAGTTTAAATATTATTATGCCATTTATGAAATGACAGTGCGCGGATCATGTTCCTGTTACGGCCATGCATCTCGTTGTTTGCCTATGCCTGGAGTTGAATCGAAAAATAATATGGTACATGGTCGTTGTGAATGCACACATAACACCAGAGGATTAAATTGTGAGTACTGTGAAGATTTTTACAACGATTTACCTTGGCAACCAGCTATTGGAAGAACTTCTAATGCTTGTAAGAGATGTACATGTAATAATCACGCAACAACATGCCACTTTGATCCAGCAGTTTATAACAAAACTGGAAAAATAAGTGGTGGTGTATGTGACAATTGTCAACACAATACAATGGGTGTTAATTGTGAACGATGCCGGCCTACATTTTACAAGGACCCTAGTTTAGACATCCAAAGTCCAGATATATGTAAACCATGTGACTGCGACCCAGAAGGTACAACCGACAGGGAAGTTTTGTGTGATGATGAGACAGATCCTGCAAATAATAAAACTGCTGGTCGTTGTATGTGTAAAGCTAATATCGATGGAGCAAGATGTGATAGATGCAAAGATGGCTATTGGAATTTCAACCCTCTTAACCCTGAAGGTTGTGAAGCATGCACATGTAATAGTTTAGGCACAATCAACGAAAGAGGCTGCGATGCCGCAACAGGTAACTGCTTCTGTAAACGTCACGTCACTGGAAGAAATTGTGATCAGTGCCTTCCAGAATTTTATGGTCTTTCGGATAGTGACGATGGTTGTCTACCGTGTGATTGTGATGTTGGTGGTTCAATAGACAGAGATTGTGATGTGATAACAGGCCAATGCAAATGTCGTCCAAACGTTACCGGTCGCCGATGTGATACACCTATACAAAACTTCTTTGTTGGTGCTCTTGATGCTATTGTTGTTGAAGCTGAGTCAAGCCAGTGTGATTCTCAAATAGACGATAACGCAATTCAAAGTCAGCTGTGTCACGTTGTCATACGAGAAAATTTCCCGGATGGCCGAAAAGAAACATGGACTGGTCCAGGTTTCATGAAAATACCGGAAAGTAGTACGCTAGTTTTTAAGATAAATAATCTAAAAACAAGTATGAATTATAATGTTTTAATTAGATACGAACCCCAGGCCCCCATGAATTGGGAAGAGGCCACAATATTTGTAAGAAGACCTGTACCCGTAGATACTGACTCACCGTGTGCAAATATACGGCCCGAAGATGACACTATCAATACATATTTACCAGCAACTCAACGCAGTGTTCTTGTTAAACCAGCGGTATGTTTAGAAAAGAATAAAGAAACTGAAATTCGTATATATTTAGGACGTCAAGATGGCCGCTCCTCCAACTCTAGAGCATCTATTTTGATTGACTCAATCGCTCTGATACCTTCTATTGACGATTTACCTTTCTTAGCAAATGGAAGTAACATGAGAGATGAATTTGATCGTTTCAACTGTGGTGATTCATATTATTATGATCTTAATAGAGAAAATATTCCTGAGGTTTGCAAAAAGTACCATGCTAGTATAGGATTTTACATTAGAAACGGCTCAGAATCATGTCAATGTGATCCAACGGGTTCTAAAAGTCACCAATGTGATCCGTATACTGGGCATTGTCAGTGCGTGGAAAATATTGTTGGCGCTAGATGCGATCGCTGTGCTCCTGGTACATACGGGTTCAGTAAGTTCGGATGCAAGCGCTGTGATTGTAACAGTATTGGATCGCTAGATAATTTCTGTGATGCTACAAGTGGACAATGTAAATGTAGAGCGAACACTTACGGTCGGGCATGTGATTTATGCCAACCTGGCTATTTCAATTTTCCAAATTGTCAACAATGCGATTGCAATGGTCACGCAGTTGAATGTGATGATAAGACTGGTGCTTGCAAAGAATGTAGAGATTATACAGAAGGTCACCGGTGCGAAAGATGTATTGATGGATATTATGGTGACCCAAGACTTGGTGTCGATATTCCATGTCGACCATGTCCCTGCCCTGGTGTTAAAGGTGATCCAAACAAGGGTAGCCATGCTGACCGTTGTGAGTTAGACCCTGAAACAAAAGATGTAGTTTGTGATTGCAAAGAAGGTTATGCTGGACTTCTATGTGATGTATGTGCCGACAACTATTATGGCGACCCTGTCAAAGGAACCTGTGATAAATGTGAGTGCAATGAAAACATCGATATTACAAAACCCGGAAACTGTGACCCATATACAGGAATATGCTTACAGTGCTTACACAATACAGCTGGTGATCATTGTGAACTTTGTCTAGATGGATACTATGGTAACGCAATAGAAAAAGCATGTTATAAATGTAACTGCTCAGAATTAGGTACAAACTTTACTCAAGGTAACTGTGATGGCATAACAGGACAGTGTCCTTGCTACAAAAACGTTATGGGAATAAATTGTGATCAATGTACGGAAAACCATTGGAGAATAGCTCTGGGCACAGGCTGTGATCCATGTGAATGTGATCCTATTGGATCAATGTCTCCGCAATGTAACCCGTATATAGGTAAATGCGACTGTAAGCCAGGACATGGTGGAAGACAATGCGATCAGTGTCAAGAGAATCACTGGGGTAATCCAAATATAGAATGCCATGAGTGTGAATGTGACTTATATGGGTCAGTATCGCAACAATGCATGAGAGAAAATGGGTCATGTATATGCAAAGCAGGTATTGGCGGATATAAATGTGACGTTTGTGCCCGCGGATATCTTGGTGATGCTCCTCAATGTTATGCTTGTGGTGAATGTTTTGACAGTTGGGATCGAATAATTGGAGACTTACGTGTTCAGACAGAATACGCTATTGGCAACGCTAGTAAGATTAAAATTGTTGGGGCTACAGGAGCGTACACAAGGGATTTTGAAGAAATGACTAAAAAGCTATCTGATGTAGAAAATACTCTTAAAAGTGCTAAACAGGGACAAAGTACAGTTAAAGATCTGTTATCAAATATCACTAGTCTACAAAGTCAATTAACTCAAGCTGAGAAAAAAGTGAAAGAAAGCAATGATAATCTAAATGATATCACATCTAAAATTAACTTAGGTAATGTGACTCTGGATGGTCTTAGGTCCAGCATTGAACAACTTAAATCTAAAACAAATGATTTAGGTAATAACGCAACTAAATTACAAGAAGCTAATTTAGAGGGAGCTTTGAACTTGACACGTGAAGCCAAGCAAAGAGCTTCTAAAGCAGCGGATGAGGCAGAAAGCGTGCAAACAATTATTGCCGATACGGATCGACAAATAAAAAATACTGACAGATTAATTGAACTTCAATATTCAAATTTCAATAATACTCAAAGTGAAAATGACAAAAAACTTGATGATTTACAAGAACAGCTGTCGGAATTGGAGTCGCAAATACCTAAAATTAATGAAAAAATGTGTGGTCAAGAAAGTGACACCTGTGATATTTGTGGTGGAGCAGGGTGTGGAAAGTGTGGCGGTATATCATGTGATCAAGGTGCTATAACTAAAGCAGAACAAGCACTTGATTTCGCCAATAAAACCGAACATAGAATAAAAGATCATGAACTTACGGCTGAAGACATGTTTAGATCAATATCTCAAGTGAAACAAGATACAGTTGCAGTCCGATCTCGAGGTAAAGAATTGCTAAATAGAGCTAAAGATTTTAAATCATCAGTTGAAAGGGTCACCAACGATAGTCAAGAATTGTCATCAGAACTAAAAGAATTTTTGTCAAACACTTCTAATACACCAGCTGACGTTAGAACTTTGGCCAACGATATCTTAAATTTATCTATACGAATTGAACCTAAAGAAATCACTGAATTATCGCAACGTATTAATTCTACCGTTTCACAGCTTACCAATATCGAAAATATTATAACAGAAACAAAACCTGATTTAGAAAGAGCAAAAGCTCTTAAACAAAACGCTACTGCCGTCAGTAGTGCTGCTAATTTGACTCTTGAAATGGCTAATAAAGTTTTAGAAGCATTAGATGAGGCTCAAGCAGCACAGGATGCAGCAGAAAATGCAATTGAGAAAGCAAATAGTGACATTGAAGCAGCTAAAAGTGATTTGATTCCAATAGCGTCTGAAACTGAACAAGCTCAAAAAAAAGCTAACGAGACCATGGACGAAGTCGAAGGGCTTCGTTTACGGCTATCAGATTTACAGAAAAATATTTTAAAGATTGAAAGTGACGCTGAACAAGTGAAAGAAGAGGCTAATGATGTCGTTAATCGAGCGGAAGGGGCTGAACAAAAAGCCAGGCAACTTAGGCAGGACTTTAAACAAACGAATATGTCTCTTGCAGAACGTGCAAGTCAGACATTGAATTCTAGAGAAAGAGCACAGTTGCTACTAAACCGAGCTACCAAACTTGCTAGTGACACTCAAATGCAATTAAAGTTATTAGCTAATATGGAAGAATTATATAACGATCATAATGAACAACTCAACTTATTGGAGAAAGAAATTGGCGAGCTCAATACACAAATGAGTTATTACTTGTCCGAAATCACAAAGCGATCAGATTACTATAGGTCTTGCACTACGTAAAATTGTTTTCTAGTTTATAATTATTAATCTATTTTAGGTATTTAGCGTTTATTGTTTTTCATTGGCTCTAAATTTAATAGAGCTAGTTTTTGTGTGCCATGTTGTTTTATAGTAATATGTTTCTTTTTCTTGTGAAATAATTACTTGAGACATTTTAACAAAAAATATTTTAAGGTAGATTTAATTGTATTAGCATGTTTATGATAATGTGAAGTAGTAAAGATAAGGTTTTGCCACATTGCATTATTATTATAACTGTACAAATGTTATTTGGTGATATTTTTTAAAATATGCTTTCCAAAATATTGCGTTGATTTAAAATTAAATGATGAATTTTTAAACATATGTACTTGCTAATCTACTGTTAGATAGGTAGATCGTACAAATTTCAATAGGTAAGGTGTTTCTAGTTAGAGAATAGTAGCTAGGCTTTATTATAATTCGTTGTATCGGTTAAATCCTAAATGCATTTATCTAACAACTTTAAGGCTTAAAAACTGTTTCCATATTCCAAAGAATTTTATATACGTAGTTCTATTAGAGAGATATTATTTGTTTCTACCTATTATTTAAGTTTATATGAATGTACCTACTTAATATGTATAAAGGTGTGTCTTCTTTTATAACATAAACCTATGCATTTCACAATCTTGTAAAATTATTTTTGTTCTAATGTTATAACTATAAAATATTTTGTTTTGTAAAAGTCTGTACCGTGTAAAGGTTTATTGTTAATTGTATTTATCTTTTTATACAAAAACATGAATGCAATGATCTGTAAATTTTATTTAAAATACACTTGAACTATATAATTAAGAGACGTGATGCACATTAAGTGAAATAAGTTTGATACAACGTAGCTACATAACTCACATTATTCACTAGTTTTGTAATGTGATATTCAATAGTGTTCATTGTAGAGGCATATATACTTAACTATATAAAATATAGATCTTAATTAAAACTGTCCATCACTTTAACAAAATTTGTAGTTATTTTACCTGCTTCTTGATAAATTTGTAATATGAATTAAAAAATTCACATTCAAAAGAAAAAAAAATCACTTTCTTTATCGTCAGACCGTAAAAGTCTCCAAATAGGTCTCTCCGTTTGTAATGAGGTTTTATTTGACAGGAGGATTGGAAATCGCAGTACCATACGATTCACAATTTTAAGTCCGCTACCCTCCGCTGATCTAAGTACTACCTTTGGCGTAAACAAATTACGCCATTTATCTGCAGCCATGAAATCATTCTCGCTTTTGTCTTACGACGACACCTACGGGGCGCAATGGGGTGATAGAATCTCTTGCGTGGCCACCACACAAATTAATTAAAATTCTTGAAATAACTAAAGAAATAATTATGTACTTTAATTATATTCTAAAATGTTTTTGTATACTAAAGTTGTTAAGAATTAATTCGCATACATCCGCTCAATAAAATAAAAAAGATTAAATAACATTACTCTTATACATTTTTTTATCGTAAAAGCTATATCTACACAAACGGAGTTATTGTTTAATTTTATTAAAATTAAATTGAATTTGATACTGTACGTTGTATGCGATTGATTTATTAGCTGTTATAAAGTCAGATGCTTTTCCCACTTAGCGGCTGCCACGCACACTTCCCTAGTTTCAGGAAAAGGAAAAGTTGCCTCTTACGACATCCACATGACGACATGTTGAACTTAAAGTTGCAGCCTATATGCGTCCCACTGCTGAGGCACAAGCCTCCCCTCATTTCTGAAAGGGTATTAGGGCAAGGAAGCGTCCGCCGCGCTCTCAGAACAGAAATTCTATGAATTGAGGCGTGTGTTGGCGAACTTCACATGTCTTCGATTTTTTTTTCTTAAATCTCCTCCCTAATTTATTCCTTAATTTTTTCTAAATTTCGATCACGATGTTTTCCTTCACCGCCGAGCACGTGGTAAATCAGCACTTAAAATTGCAATTAACAATTTCATTGGTGTCGGCGGGGACCGAACCCGGTTTGCTCGAGTACTGTGAAATTTACAGCGAGCGCTAACCAACTGAGCTACTACCGCTCTGGGACGATATGGGGTAATGAATATTCCTTATCTGGAGGCACGGTAGTACCCCCGCCAAGTCGAGCAAAAAAGCGGCACGACCGTACCATACTTTTCTCGAAGCAATTCAGACCATTTTCGACCCCTTATAACTTCGTAGTGGATAAAACTAGAAGCCTGAATTTTCAGTAACCGAGTAGGCATTGTATAAACATAGTATATTTTAAATTTTAAAATCAGTAGTTTAAGAATTATAACTAGTCAAAGTTTCTTAATTTTGTCACTCACTGACTGATCGATCATCAAAACTCTAAGGCACTTCTAGCAGACATAGAAGCTTCAAATTTAGAATACAATTAGTGTTTAGTGTATAAATTAAGGAAAAACTAAAATATTTTTTAATTTCGTTCCAGTTTTCTAGATACACTAACTGCATTAATAACTTTGTAATCCTATATAAATATATAGAATTACAAAGTTACATTTGCAGTAAATGAATCAGTGTACTTGTATATGTATAATAGGTAGATAGGTACGTTGTTGGTATTCAAGAACTAGAAGATACCGGAAAGGTAAAAAAGTAGGACTATCTTATCTACAAAAAGAAATGAGATGCCATCAAAACATAACTTGTAATAAAAACTAAGTCTCGCAACTTAGTTCTTCTACCGTAAAAAGTTGTGAGATCCATGTTAATACCAAGTCGATTAATTTATCCAGTCCCTACTTAAGGTTCCTTCCGTTTTAAGTTATTACGTTATTATCTAACCTAACAACATTTTATAGTGACCATATCAATGTTAAAAATCTTATATGTTTTAAATAGGTATATAGATTGACTTGGCAATCGCACTAAACAATCTAATTTAATATAATATGTATTACTTGCGAGATACATTGTGTTTTCATGCGATGTCCAAGTCAATCTATATGTTTAAAATAAAAGGTTTTTAACATTGATACGGTCACTATCACATGTTGTTAGGCTAGCTAATCATGTAATAACTTAAAACGGAAGGACCCTTAAGTAGGGACTGAATAAATTAACCGACTTGGTATTACATGGATCTCACAACTTTTTACGGTAGAAGAACTGAATTGCGAGACTTGGTTTTTTTACAAGTTATGTTTTGATGGCACACTTATTACTTTTTATTTTAGAACTTACAGTGACATAATATTATATTGCCTATAAATTTCACAATTTTGCCAATCGTTTTATATATGGAAATGTGCGCAAACTTTACAAAATAGAAGTTATTGGTAGGTATTGTATTAATTACAATTATTTTTGTCACCTGCATCTCAAAGAAAATTGATGCATAATAAACATATTATGCACGAAGTAACTCGTTGTTACGAGTACATTTACATGTGAAAATGTTACTTCTGAAAGAATGCAACAAAACACTTTTCTAAAATGTGAACCATCGTCTCTCTGTATGTTTCGAAACTTCTTATTCCAAATTGTAGGTGCCGTTCTGTGCGTACGAGCACTTATTGCACCACTTCATTAATTAACTTCATCTTATGAGATGGGCTATCGGACTACGTCTCGGTTTTGTAAGTTATAACTACCGCAAATCCTGTTTAAAATTGACGTAGGTATTTAGTAGAGATGGGCCGAATATTCGATTCATATTCGGTATTCGGCAGCTTAACCGAATATTCGTATTCGGCTAAATCACCGAACATTCGTTAAAGTAGTAGGGTCGATGCGCCGGTAAACCGGCCGGGTCTAGATTTGCCTTTGGCACGAGGTGATGCAGTAAGTTTGGTTTAATAACGGTTTTAATAAATATTATCGTACGAAATGAAGTTTAATGCATTTGTAAATAGTTGCACTATATCTGGTAACATTAATTAATTAGATAAACACAACACGCAATTTATAATAAATTGTTTACTTCGACGCCGGCAGAGAAGCTGTCAAAACGTGTAAGATCGAACAAAAAAAAAATAGTGGCGCGCGTTCCATTCAAAAGTAAGTTTCGTGTTTTATTTAATGTAATTACTTAATATTGTGCTTACAATTTACTGTATAAATAATCTAATACAGTTATTTGACATTGATTATTATAATAGTTTATTAGTAAAGTTAATAAATGTGTTGTATTATTTGGTTGTCGGCCATGCGGCCGAAAAGTAGCCTGAGTTAAGCCTCAATACTTTGTCTCTTTTATTTATTTGGTTACGTACTATAATTCATCTTTTTTACTTATATTGCATCGTAGCGTGCGTAGACACTAACTTTCAGTTATCGGCCACCAAGTACTGCAATTTGAACAGTTAGTGATGAAACAAATATACCCATTTCGGTCGTGGCCGAAAAGTAGATTGACTCTAAAATAATTATTTAGTTTTCGGCCTACTTAAAATTGTATAAAAGAATAAGGCGGCGGAAAATAGAATGCTGTTTTAGTTTACGTTTACGGCCATTTCATGAAATATTTCATGCGTTTTAGGAAGCAGATTCAATACGAAGTTTTTTTCTTCAGATGACTCCACCAAAGAAATATAATAAGTAAATGGTTTCAGAAAAGATTGCGGATTGATTCAGAGAAGACGGACTTTATTAAATAGATCTCAATGCAGCGGATTACTCAAAATGAGTCCAGAAAACCCTGGAAAGACTAATCGGTGATAATTAAAAGAAATAATAAATATTTCTAAAGAAATAACTAACGCAGACCTAGTTTCCACAAGAAAAGTTTAGAAACATTTTAAATACCAACTATGGCAGAAAAAAATATAAGAGTTGCTTTTATAGTAAATGAGACAAGAAAATTGAAAAGAAAGTCTTCTCAGATCAATATTGTTCCATACAGACAGGCTAACGAAAACTTAATCCTCCATTTAAGCAATAGAAGATCGCTAAGTCCATTTAAGTCTCCAGAAAGTCTGTGCAACATAGACTAAGTTAAAAGTACTCTAACTCACGATGTTCAGCTAACTATTTATCCATCTAC